CAACCTCTTTAAGGACCAATCAGGTCAACACCAACTAATGCAAGCATAAGTAACTGCTTCAATGGAAGCAACTGGAATCTTAATGAACAGGTCAGATTCTCTGAAGTGGATGGGCAAAGAATGATGGAATTTTCTCAATTAAATCAAGCAAAGAAGCACAAGAAGGAGCCAATGAGGCCTTGGAAGCTGACATTGAAAACTAATGTTGCAAAAACTGGCTGGATTTGGATGGATAGCACTCAATGAGAACTGTCTCACACATGATGATCTCCGAAAGAGGAGTACAGAATCTTGCAGCTTATGTTATTTTTGCAAATCGGACAGACATCTCCAGCATTTCCGGTTCATATGGGATATCTGGTATATGTTCTCGGTTTATTTGGAGAGTTTGGGTAATGCAAGGGAACTTCAAAGGTACAATTACTAGTTGGAATGGACAGAATATGGAGAAGCGACAGATGTGGATAAACATTCGCTTTCAATTTTGGACAGATGGATAGGAAGGACCTGCAGATGTCTTTTCCGACAACAAAAAAGCTTTTCTCCCCAACCGAGGTGAGAGGAAAAATTTTTTAACTTCTAACTTTTAAAGTTTAATTATTTATAAAACGTATATTTTAGGTGTAACAGAAGATAGATTAGATGCTACACTGTATTTTTATGGATTCCTTACACGCATGAAGGACGGGATTCGACGGGATTCCGAAACCACCTTCATTGTACTTAGCCACTCAATTACTTAAAGCTTCAGCAGAAACTTCTTATCTCAAAAAAAAACATCTCATTTAGCCTTAAATTAAACTTCAACCAACAGAATTGAACAGGCAAAAAAAAGATCTCCAAAATGATCCAGACCAGAGATTCAACTCATAGACAACAACATTGAATAAGAAACAAAGTACGATACAACGAATCAAGATAGAAACAAAGCATCATACTCTTTCTCAAATAATTACAGACAAACAAAAAGGATCATGGCATTGATCATTCAATCAAGATAGAAGCTTTACACTTTCTGGACCAAACCCCACTAACAAGTAGATATAGTAAATCACGGTAGAAACTGTACACTCTCTCAACCAAAACTGCCTCTACACCTCCACGATCCACGAGGCAGTGGTAAGGTCTGAGGTCACCCTACCCTCCCGAGACCCCTGGGGTTTCAATGGTTATGTTGTTGTTGAATCAAGATAAAAACTTCATAACTTTCAACATAGAACCCACTAGGAATTCATCCCAAAATTAGCAAAATCAGCAATCAAAATATTAATGTAGCACATTGTGTACCAAACCATAAACACATAGATATAATGAATCAAGATAGGATTCCCACACTTCCTAAACCAAAACCCATCAACATTTTGACACAATGAATAACAGATTTAAACCTTACAAATATTTTCCTGTCATAGTTACTATTTACAACTTAACTTTATCAAAAAAATAAAAAAATAATTGAACTCTACCTTCTTGATTGACCCTAGCACCAAGCTTGGCATAAGAAGAGAGCTTAACATCAAGATCACCTTCGATCTTGCGAGCCTCTTTGCGTAGTTCATGCCACCCAGATTAACATCACTACAGAACGCCATTGGGTAGGTAATGGACCAATTGATCCTATATATGTTGAACTAATTTGAAACAATGAATTAAGAAAATGTGATTTAACAATAATCACTTTCTTTTCTTTCTAATACATGTATTATACTCGTATTATAAATAAATTAAAAGTGATAAAAAATATATTTTTTGTTATAGTATATTTAAATAAGTTTTTCTAAAAAATGTGTCAAAGTCAAACGAATATATGTACACATGGTTAATATATTCAAATTCTAAATATGTTTTGAAAAAAGTATAGCCAAATGAAACCCGACTTCAAAAATTTCAAATAAAGTAATTATTTTTAAATTTTCATAATTAAACGCGTAGGTAATTTCACTAATTTTCCATTATTTCTGTACATTGTATGAAATGTGAATTGCATTATACCTATAGGAGCCGTTTGGTTATTGTATAAGAAACATCTTATACATGTATTAAAAGTTACATTATTTTTACTATGTTTGGTAGAAATTTTGTTATTCATGTATTAATTTATACGGTGGTTGATTGCATTTTTTGTAGTCCTACATAATTAATACCAACATAACTTACGAGATAATATATGTATAAAGTTATGCAGCATAGAAAGTAGAATAAGTTATGTGGGTATTAGTTATATATATATATTAAAATGAAAAATTACAGATTTATCCTATCAATTTATTTTATTTTTTTAATTGACAATTATACTGTTTTCCTTTATATGTTTTTTTTTATTTCTTTTTATATTAGGCCATTTTTTATTTCTTTTAATTTTTTTAATTGGAAAATTTATTATTTTTCTATCATATACTATTTACATCACTTTTTATAGACTTATCATTTTTATTTATTTATGCAAATATAAATATTTTTTTAATATTAAAAATTTGATCGTATATTTTTTCACGGTACATATGCTAATCAAATATTATCATTATATATTTCGCATTTTACTAGTATGTATTATTATTTTGTAAATAATATATATTAATAATTTACAACAAGTTTAATATTTAATAGTTAATAATTCATGTATTATAATCTAAACTTAACAAAATAATACCTACATAACTAATATCTGCATAGCTAATACCTGTATAATTAAACTCAACATAACTAACCCTGCATAACTAAACAAAAACAACTTTTAGCGACATTAAATATTGACACTAATAAAGATTGATAACGTCTTTACCGGCATTATTAAGTGTCATTATAACCAATGCCGCTAAAAGTTTTAGAGACATATACAAAGAGTGACAATTGCCGCTAAAAATATATATTTAGAGGCAATTAAAAATTGAATGCCGCTAATGGTCATATACAAAGAGTGACGATAACCGCTAGCAAAATTTTCTTTTTTCTTCTCTCTTAGTAAGAAAAAGTATCTTTTTAAAAAAAAAAAAATCTTCAAGTTACTTGATAAGAAATTAGGTTTTGTGATTTGAGAAAAAATGTAATTTCGAAAGAAGATGAAGTTGAAAGGAGAGGATTTATGATTTGAGAAAGAATATGTTTTGGGAGGAAGATGAAGATGAAAGGAGGTTGGGGTTGGGGTTCTTAAAATAGGTTGACATTTTCATTATTTATTATTTTTTAAAAAATAGATATAAAATGTGTTTAAAATAATTTTATAAATTTGGAGGCTCAGTGCCACATGTCATTGATTAATTAGTTGTTTTGTCAGCGCAAGTATATCACATATTTTTCATATTTTTTTATGATTAATAAAAAAATGCTTAATAACAACAATTTTGAATAGGTAAAAGTGTTCAATAGATACGTCTTAATTAAAGTATCTAAGTGAATATAAAAATAACTTTAAGAGTTCATTGATAACTTAAATCTTCATTTTATTTCATTAAATTATATAATAATAAAAATCGTATTAATTTGATATAACAGTCGATCCAGATAATTTTTTTTTCCTGCCGATAATATTCAACCATGATGTTAACACCTAACAGAGAAGCTGGCCAATGGGCGGGTGTCAGCGTTAATGACACATAGAAGTTTGTGATATGCATTGGGAATTGGATTCGCCAAATTTGTAAAAAAAAACGGCTAACTTACTAAACACAAAATAATCTGAGATACATATATTTTTTCTTATTAAGCAACACTAAGATAATTATCCTAAGATTATTTAAATATTAATTCTGAAAATGAATTTTGCACGTTTATCTCAAAATTTTAATTCAACGTATCGTACATGATAAATTCCATATATTAAATTAACTGACTTATCTGTGTTATGGATTAAAAATCAAAACATACAAAAAGAAGAAAAACTAAGTTATATTCTTTAATTAGTCTATTAATTCTAACCTTAGCATATACATATATAATTGGTTTTAACTTATCTATATCAAGATCTTTTGAAATTTATCAATTATTTTACCACGATATGACACACAAAGACTTTATGATAATGCTAAAATTTTGTACTACTAAATTATCTAAATTTCGCTATTACATTCATTATTTAGTGATTTTTTTTTATCTTTATTTATCCCCTTGTCACCTAAGCTTGGATAATTTGTTTGAACAGTAAGTTCCTATAGTAAACAATTTACTTTTTCTATGTATTTGATAATTATCACATGGATTTGGTTAATACTATTTAATATAATATTTAATGCAACTTTTTAAATACTTTTTTTTAGTATACTGATGATAAAAAGTTATAGAATTAAAAGATGTAATTGAAGCTGGATAAAACCTCACAGAAATATGGAGGCATAGTTTGGATTTCATGATAAATTATGCTTTAAAGGCTATAAAATAAATTAGCTAAGTTGAAATATCAATAATTTCAATTGAACAATACAACCGTACATATTTTCTCAGTTAGAATATCATCCTTTTCTATTCCAGGTATATCATATACTTGGTCATCTATATTATTATTTTCATTCGATTTTGGAATTCATATTGAAGCTTAGACAAAATTCAGATCGTGCTTTTAACATGATTTAAATCATATTTAGGGCTCGAATCTGAGATTTATGATTAAGGATGAAACACTCTCACTAATACATCACAACCTAACATTAATGATATATGCTTTATTCATAGTCAATTAGATAATTATTTGACCTCGCTGTAACGTTAAAAAGGTTATGTAAATATTTGAAAAATAATTTTCAAATTTAATATAATAATATCTTTCATTTATCATTCGGCTTTAAAATACTCTTAACATCAATCTATTAACTATGAAATACCTCTATTTTTTTACCATAAAAATAAATTTCTCATTTATTACATATCACGATTTATAATTAACCTAAACTAATTAGATTTCAACCAAACCCCAATTCAGGTAATAACCTTATATCCGCCATCTACAAGGCTACAAACCCCATAAAATTAAAGAAAAAAATTATTATTTTAGTATGTTGGTTGGATAAGTCCCCTTCACAAGAGAAATGGATTGGCTTAATCAGTCGGTGATTACGTGTAAATTGTGCTAATCTCCGTTGCCTAATAACAATATTTCCATTTTCATACTCCACCCGCTGCAAGCACCAAATCCCATTATATTACTACTAAAAACGACTGCATGTCTTCTTCTTTTTTAAACTCAGCGATTGCCTTCTTTTTTTGCTCTCATCACTCTTTCTTGCAGTTGTAGGTATGATATGTCACTTTCTTGCTTTGTTTCTCTTGAGGATTAACCTTTTGTTCTTTAATTTATTGCTGTTCTTTTAATCCCCAAATTTGGATATCTTTACTAGTTGTGGGACTCTGTTTGGTTGTTGAGAAAAGTTTTAACTCTTTTATGAAAATAATAATGGGAAATTCAAAGAAAGTTGCTTTCTTTTTTCTATTTGGTGATACTGGAAATTGTATGGGGGTATATATGGACATGGGTTTGGGTTTGAGGAGATAAAGTCTCCTTTTTGGGATCTTTTTTTTTTGGTTTTACACAGGTAGATTCGCTGCAAAATCTTCTTGATTCCCTTTTGCTTTAGATGTTGCGCGTTTGCTTTCTTTGACCAGAGTGTTTATTGGAAGCGACCTATACCGTAGGGAGTAAGGTTTGAGTAGACTTCACTTGTGGGATTATACTGGCACGTTGTAGTTTGATGACATGATTCAACAGTACTATACCTTTCTGTATGTTAACAATTTTGTAGACAACAAACTTTTTTACCAGAAACTAATGCAGAGGTGACAAGCTCTTCTTGAAAGAGTAAAGACTTTTTTTTTATCTTAACATGCTTGTGGAGGATGCAAAATAAATTGTGCTCTCGATATCAATAGGAGAGGACAGGGTAATTTGTGTTTGCTCATACACTATTGAAGATAGATAACATACTAAGTATATCCGGTTCATTTCTAGTCTACTTTGCAGATTTGGATTTCTGGGTAAAAGGAATTTTATTTATTTTGTTGGGGTTTTGTAGGATAATCAGAATAAACAAATATGAGGAGTGCTGGAAGAATGGGAATCCATTATATGCAGAAATTGCACGCGTCAAATGTTCCAAAAGAATTGGTGGAAAAAGGACAGAATCGTGTTATAGAGGCATCTCTTACACTTATTCGTGAAAGAGCAAAACTTAAGGTATGTTATTTTGAGTTGGGCTCATAATGAGATGCTTCATATTAGTATCACTTAGTTCTTTCCAATTACTACATTTAACTGATTAATGAATTAATATCGTGAATAGAACCTTTGTGTAAAAGCTCTTGAACCTTTTGGTTTATCTTGGTAATCCTTGATGGTGTGGGTGTGTGCATAAATTCAGCACTGCTAGTTCTCATGTATATTAGTTTACCTGTGGCAATAGTGTCAATGTCATTTTAAAAGGAAGTTCTATATGTGATTGGAATTGATAAGCATGACTAAACATTTTGTCAGCACCAGAGATATTTCAAGAATTTTTGTATTGTTTCCTCACAGCATGATCTGTGTCCCTGCACTGTCACTTAATCTAGTCACACAAATGAAATGGACAAGTGGTAGTTGTATCCTAGTATGATAATGGGCTATTTCTTCATGATGGTTAAGGATAGATGGAACATAGGTTTGTCAGGGGAGAAGGGAAAGAAAGAAGACAACCAACTACTTCGGTATTCTCTTACAAGACATTAGCTACCTTTAAGGGTTGTTGTTTCTCATTTGGATTGACCTACTGGTTTGCTGTAGTGAATTTTTCCTATAAGACCATTTACACGTGAATGATTGATTTGTTTCCTGATCTTTTCAAGTTACTTTTATAGGGAGAGCTTGTTCGTGCTCTTGGAGGTGCTGTAGCCTCAACGTCTCTTCTTGGAGTTCCTCTGGGACATAACTCTTCATTTCTCCAGGGGCCAGCATTTGCTCCTCCTCGTATACGAGAGGCTATGTGGTGTGGCAGTACAAACTCTACAACTGAGGAAGGTAAGTAAAGTTATTTATCTGTTGAAACAATTATTCTTTACATTATTTACTTTGGACAAGATGAGTTTCAAAACACTAATTTTGTTTTAGGGATTTATCAATCACAATCAAATAATCAGTAAATAGTGGGTTAAGCTTTATACTCATTCTATTCAATATTTATCTGTTCTGGTTATGGAGGAAACAAAACAATGCAGTTATTTCTTTTGTGCAGGAAAAGAATTAGATGATCCACGCATCTTAACTGATGTTGGTGATGTGCCTGTGCAAGAGTTACGAGATGCAGGTGTAGATGATGATAGGTTAATGAGTATCATAAGCGAATCTGTCAAGCTAGTTATGGAAGAGGTAAAGCATAATTTATGTAATAACTTCTGGGGAAGTATTTGTCTCCTTTCTGCAGGGAAAGCATACTAATCATAGGCCACTGGCTACTTCATCCATTAAATTAGAAAATTTACCAAAATCATTTTTATTATAATGATATATCAAACTTCTAGACCCCCATCCTCCCCATCCAAAGCCAGTAAAAACAGAAATTTTATTGCCGTGTCAGAGTCCATACTGACATTTTGGCTTTTATTGTATCTCTTCATTATATTGTTCAGAGTTACCAGTGTAAAGTAAGCTTGCTCGCCTTCATCCATATGTCTATTAAAAGTTAGAAAGGAAAAAGTGAATTGTCTTCATGACCTCATGTGTTGTTCAAAGGAGCTCTTTTATCCATAATATGATTTTTGAAGCTGGAAGGACCTGCTCAAGACTGTTAACAGATGTATATATGTTTAGGCATCAAACTATTGTGCCTTCTCTACCCTGCTACAGTAATCCTGCCAATTTTTCTCATCTCGTAGTGAACAAGAGAAAGATCTTTTGTTGCATGGAAGATCTTCTGCCCAACTGTTATTCAATGAAGAATCAATACTCACTGTTATTTTATGACTTCCCTTTGCTTCTGAATCGAAATATTTTTTACACTATGATGACTGAATAAAATATTATTATAACTAGGAGCTCTACTCAAAGTATTCTCTTCTTAGCAAGGCCTGTATGCTTCAGTTCTAACATTTTTTGCTTATTTTAATTCCCATTTTGACTTTTTCAGAATCCATTGCGCCCCTTGGTGTTAGGGGGTGATCACTCTATATCCTATCCTGTTGTAAGAGCTGTGTCTGAAAAGCTTGGAGGGCCTATTGATATCCTTCACCTTGATGCTCATCCTGACATTTATCATGCCTTTGAAGGAAACAAATACTCACATGCATCAAGCTTTGCACGGATAATGGAGGGTGGTTATGCTCGACGGCTTTTGCAAGTAATATATGTTCTTTCTATAGACCAGCTAAGCATATATAACTTTGTATGCTATTTCTTGGTTTAATCAAATACAAAATATTTACCAGAACACTTGATCTTATATGTAGGTGGGAATTAGATCAATTAATAAAGAAGGTCGAGAACAAGGAAAAAGGTTCGGTGTGGAGCAATATGAAATGCGAACATTTTCCCAAGACCGACAATTTTTGGAGAATCTGGTCTGTATATCTTTACCTTCGCTTTCCTTTACCTTACCCTCTTGTATTTTCTGTCCAAATCATATACTTGCAAATATGTTCATCACTTCAGGAATTCTGAATATGATGAGTCTATTCCAGATGCCTAATACTCTCACATTTCTTTCTGTCTCAATATATCCTACTATAAGCTATGATCCCCTTCAATTTCATTATATTTGCTGTTACTTACCAAATGTAGCAACTGCTAATCTTCCATTGTCTATACGCTGGAATTTTGTTATTTATTTGCTTCATTAATAATCTCAATTGTTCAACTATTATTCTTGTACATTCAGAAACTTGGCGAAGGTGTGAAGGGCGTGTATATCTCAGTGGATGTTGACTGTATGGATCCAGCATTTGCTCCTGGAGTATCTCATATAGAACCAGGAGGTCTCTCTTTCCGCGATGTTCTAAACATACTGCATAACCTTCAAGCTGATGTTGTTGGTGCTGATGTGGTTGAGTTCAACCCGCAGCGTGATACTGTTGATGGCATGACTGCAATGGTTGCTGCGAAGCTGGTAAGAGAACTTACTGCCAAGATATCCAAGTGACCTGCAGTAATTTCTAAAATTATGAAGGAAGAATTACCATGCATCCAATAGAGACCACTAGATTTGTACTCATCTTTACTGGGGAGGTTTAACAGAGAATAAGCACCAAAATGAAGTGTTTATTCACCTTATTGTAACTCTAAAACTAAAAGCTATATTTGCAGTTCATTATGAGGACCCTGTGATTCTTATAATCTTTTAAGTGGTGCAGATTTTGATGTGTTCTGTTAACTTGTGTAGGGATGTTTTGAATCTTTTATAGTGTTTTCAAATAGCTGTAGGGAAAAGTGTGTCAGTGAATTTTAGGCAAAAGCTAGATTATGATTCTACTCTTACACTATATTTAAATATATTATAAATATTTAATTAAATATTTATTCTTTTAAAGTCTGTTAACCTCCTACATCTATTAAGAAATTATACATTGATTTAGGAAGTGATACATTGAATCAGTTATTAATTTAATTAGCACGTAATTAATATTTATCAAGAAATTAGATAGAACAATCAATTTATAATAAACTGGATTCTAAATATTTTTTTGTCATATTAATATTGCTTAATGAATTAGCCACAATAATTTTTTAAGTTATAATATTTTAAAAGTCACATATCTTACCTCAATCTTTTAACCTTCTATTATTTGTGGTGAGAAAGATCAAAAGTTGTTTTTTTAATTTAATGATTTTAATGATACTGGACAAAGAATTCAATGAATCTATAAGTACAATTATATATGGAGTACTCATTATATATGTGTCATGCTTCTCTTTTACTTCCACAAACAACATATTTCTCATTTGCATCTCAATTTTTAGTTATTATGATATTATATTTTTCTTTTTATGCTTTAGAATAATTATTAATACTATTTTGCATGAATTTTATATGGGCAACTTTCACATATAGTAAACATAAAATTCATATTTGTATGCGATAACAAATTTTGCACAGTTGCACTCCATAGCAAACATATAAATGTATAATTCGCTATACATATACAATTGAAGCGAATTATATAAAACAGAGTGTATAAAACGAGAAAGAGAGAGAGACTTGGGCAGAGAATTGTATAAAAACGAATTATGTAATTATAAATGTATAGAACGATCATATACAATTTAGTGTAAATTAGGTATATAACATTTTTTATAGTAATATTCTCAAGTTAATAGCACTAGAGTTTGAATTTCATTGTATGACATTTAATATCTCAAGTTATAGCATTTTAAAAAAATATATAATGTTAATTTTAAATTATTAAAAAGAGTTGTTAAAATAAAAAATAAATTAAAAAAACGGACAAATTAATAATGGAAAATGAGATCTTTTATTAAATAAATTAAATATAATTATTAATTACTGTTAATAAATTAGCACGTTTTAAGGGATTTTAAATTTTTTTAGATTAGTTAGTTGCCTTAATTCTCTCAAATTAGTTTAAATGATATTAATTTTTGATTTAATTCCTTGAAAAGCTCTACCAAATTGGCATGCTTTCC